GGGTTTTGGTTTTTTATCCAATTTGCCAGTCTGTGTCTTTTGATTGGTGCATTTAGCCCATTTACATTTAGGGTTAATATTATTATGTGTGAATTTGATACTGCCATTTTGATGCTAGCTGACTGTTTTGCCTGTTAGTTGATGCGGATTCTTTATTTTGTTGATGCTCTTTAGCATTTGGTATGTTTTTAGAATGGCTCGTACTGGTCCTTTCTATGTGTAGTGCCTCTTTCAGGATCCCTTGTAAAGCAGGCCTGCTGGTGACAAAATCTCTGAGTACTTGCTTGTTTGCAAAGGATTTTATTTTTCCTTCACTTCTGAAGCTCAGTTTGGCTGGATATGAAATTCTGGGTTGAAAGTTCTTTTCTTTAAGGATGTTGAATATTGCCCCCCACTCTCTTCTGGCTTGTAGAGTTTCTGCCGAGAGATCTGCTGTGAGTCTGATGGGCTTCTCTTTGTGGGTAACCTGACCTTTCTCTCTGGCTGCCCTTAGTATTTTTTCCTTCATTTCAACCCTGGTGAATCTGATGATTATGTGCCTTGGGGTTGCTCTTCTTGCAGAATATCCTTGTGGTGTTCTCTGTATTTCCTGGACTTGAATATTGGCCTTCCTTGCTAGGTTGGGGACATTTTCCTGGATAATATCCTGAAGAGTATTTTCCAGCTTGGATTCGTTCTCTTTGTCACATTCTAGTACACCTATCAAACGTAGGTTAGGTCTTGTCACATAGGCCCACATTTCTTGGAGACGTTGTTCATTCCTTTTTGTGCTTTTTTCTCTAATCTTGGTTTCTCATTTTATTTCATTGAGTTGATCTTCGACTTCTGATATTCTTTCTTCTGCTTGGTCAATTTGGCTGTTGAAACTTGTGCATGCTTCATGAAGTTCTCATGTTGTGTTTTTCAGCTCCTTCAATTCATTCATATTCCTCTCTAAGTTGTCCATTCTTGTTATCATTTCCTCGAATCTTTTTTCAAGGTTCTTGGTTTCTTTGCATTGATTTAGAACATGTTCTTTTAGCTCACAGAAGTTTCTCATTATTCACCTTCTGAAGTCTGATTCCATCATTTCGTCATACTCCTTCTCCATCCAGCTTTGTTCCCTTGCTGGTGAGGAGTTTTGGTTCTTTGTAGGAGGCGAGGTGTTTTGGTTTCGGGTGTTTTTTTGTTTTTTGTTTTTTTTTGTGCTGGTTTCTTCCCATCTTTGTGGATTTATCCACCTGTTGTCTGAGTAGTTGCTGACTTTTCCATTGGGTCTCTAAGTGGAGGCCCAGATTGTTGATGATGAATTATTTCTGTTTCTTAGTTTTCCTTCTAACAGTCTAACCCCTCTGCTGTATGACTGCTGAGGTCCACTCCAGGCCCTGCTTGTCTGGGGTACACCTGTAGCAGCTGCGGAACAGTGAGGGATGCTACCAGTTTCTTCTTCTGCTATCTTTGTCCCAGAATGATGCCCACCAAATGTCAGTCTGATCAGTCCTTTTTGAGGTGACTCTTTGGATATACAGGGGTCAGGGAGCTGCTTGAGGAGATGGTCTATACTTTATAGGAGCTCAAGTGCTGAGCTGTGAGCTCCATTGTTTATTCAGAGCTTTTAGGCAGGTGTGTTTAAGTCTGCTGCAGCAGAACTTATAAAACCCCTTTTTTCCCTCAGATGCTCTGTCTCAGTGAGTTAGGGCTTTCTTTATGAGTATCCATTTCACTGTCCTGCCCAGCTAGGAGGCAGTCTAGTCATTATTTGCCTGCCGAGGCTCCACCCTGCTACTGCGGGGTCTGCCCTGTTGCTGTGGGCTCTGCCCTGCTGCCGTGGGCTCTGCCCTGTTGCCTGTGGGCTCTGCCCTGCTGTCGTGGGCTCCACCCTGTTGATGGAGTCTCTCTGTTATGAGGGTTGCCTTGGCAAATGGCAGGCTGCGTCAGCATTCGGAGCATACCTCAGTAGGGGTGGGATGCCTCGGTAATGGCTGATGCCCCTCCCCCACCGAGCTGCACCATCCTGGATTCAGCTATGCCCGCAGTGAAACTCGCAACCCCGAGTGTTTCGAATCGCCATTTTGTTTGTCCCTGTGGGGGTGGGACCTGCCGAGCCTGATCACCTGGCTCCCTGCCTCAGAGCCCTTTCTCTCTCTCTCTCTCTCTTTTTTTTTAAGTTGAATGATTGACTCTCTCCCAGGTGTTTCAGTCACCTGCTGATAGGGCACCAAGATCTGTGTGATTTCCCGTGCAGCAACCCACTGCGCCAGCTCAAATGTCGCTTCCCGGGAATCTCCTGGTCTGGCTCACTGTCCAAGTCCCGTTTAATCAGATGGATATGCTAATCTGCCCTCCCAACTCTCAGATTGCCGGTTTAACAGGGCACCCAGACCAGTGCGTTTTGTGCGGGGTGCCACTGTGCGGCGGCCGGCCGATACGGCCACACCATCCGAAAGGGCTGCGCTGGCATCCCGTGTCTCTCCTACACCTGGGAATTTCCCCGTTCTGTGGGCAACAAAGATCTGTCTGGAAATGCGGCTCAGACTCACCCTCTCCATCTTCACTGAGAGCTGTAATCCTGAGTTGTTCCTACCGCACCATCTTGGACTTCTCCAGTTGTGCTTATTTTTATGCTGAAAACTATTAACACAGCTGGGTAAAGTTAATCTAAGTAAATGGAGAAATATACGATGCTAACATATTGAAAGCTCGATATTGTTATCAGCTCCCCCGTATTTATCTATAGTTTCAATTCAAACCCAAGAAAAATCCAGAAAGCTTTTCTTGCAGAAATTGACAAGTTGATTTGAAAGGCATGTGGCAAATCAAAGAATCTGGAAGTCCAAGACAATCTTTTCTAATTGACTTCAAGACTTTCTTTAAGCCATGATATTTAACACAAAATCATATCAGCATAAGGGTAAACAAACAGATCAGTGCTATGGCAGGAGAAGTACAGATATAAACCCATGCTTATATTGTAAACTGCTTTTTGAATATTTTCATGACCTTAGAGTGGCAAATTCTTCTTAGATAGTACACTGAAGTCATTAATTGTAAAATAAATAAATAAATTGGACTTCATCAAAATTAAAGATTTCCTCCCATCAAAAGACATAATTAAGAAAATAAAAGGGAAGCTGCAGACTGGGTGAAAAATATTTACAATACATAAATCAGACAATATACTTCTATCTATAATCTATTAAAAAAAACTCCTACCCATTAATAAATAAAAGAAAGTTTAGTAATATAAATGCACCAAACATTTGAACATTTTTCACCAAGAAATAAAGAAATTGCTAGTAAACACATGGGAATGTGCTTGACATAATTTCATCATTAAAGATATACAAATTAAAACTAAAATGAGATATCACATTGTGCATACTTGAATAGCTGAAAATAGAAAGGTAGTCTTTGAAAAACAGTTTGGCAGGTTCTAGAATGGTTAAATGTACTCTTACATAATGACCCAGTAATTCCACTCCTACATAGTTACTCAAGAGAAATGAAAACATCTTGCCACAAAAAGACTTGCACAAGAACAGCAGTTTTATTTATACTAGGCTCAAACTGGAATCCACGCCAATGTCCATCAACAGAAAAATGAGTAAGCAGATTGTGGAGATCCACACAGTGAAATACCACTCAACAATAAAAATGAACAAACTACTGTTCAACACAGTAATGGATAATAAGCAAAAGAAGGCAGACACAAAAACATGTATATATTTCACCCATTTATATGAAATCCAACAGCAGACATTGTTAACATGACAGAAGAAATGACAGCAATGGTTGCCCCTGAGAGGTTGCCTGGCTGCAGGTGGTCAGTATGCAGATTGACAGGCAGTGTATGCACTGCTTTGTTGATTTTTCAGATAACAAATCAGTTTTTAGCTGTGTGTCTCCCTTCAAATCTCCACTGTTTCTTCCAAATTCTGTAGGGCACCAAGATTGTTTTCCTAACCTCAGGAGCATCCACTACCTGCTATTGTAACTAGTGCTTTTCTGACCACTTTCTGTCTTCAGGATCTTATTTGAAATCTCTTATGTGCTCACTGTCCTCCACCATTCTCTTGTCATTGTGAATCTAATTCCTTTGCTAACATTTTACTGATCTTTAACCAGAAACTTAAAAAAAAAAAAAAAGAATTCAAAACAATAATGTGACATTGTTTCCTGCTTCATGTTGCCTGCTGGGAAGTGCCAATGATTCTCTTCTGGTTGGATAAAAAAAGCTCCTAACTTTTCGTAACATTTAGGAATACTGAGATGTTAATTTAAACATTATCAAAGCAATAACATGATCAACTAAGAACTGAAATTAGACACTCAGCTTTAAAATTGCTTTAACAGGAAACAGCGGCAATTTCTGAAATTCAGATGCCTAAAATATTAACTGTATATATAACAATAGTATAGACAGATTTATATTAGCACAAAGCAGAACCAAATGTTCCAGGAGGTGTCACTGAGATTCTCATGAAATTCTCAATAATGTGGTATTGTTATCATTACTAAACCACACTGTATTATTTATGAATTAAGTTTATGATGCATGATGGTATTTCCTTCCTAAAGCTATAGACTAGAGAGGGACATCTTATTTTTATTTCATCAGATATCTTTTCTCTCAGTTGTTAAGATGCATTTTCAAGGTTAGATTTTATTTATATTCAATTGTCTTTTATTTATCTCTGGATAACCTGCTTACTCCATCTAGATTCTGTAGAACTTTAATATTTTTATTTCAAAAAAATTCCAGATTTGTTAGGTGAACATATCTTTACAATGGCTTTGTTCAGTTTGGACGTGACTTCTTCAGTCCTCTGTCTTTCCAAGGCTCCATATCTTCTATTACATCTTTCTTGCTTCAATTTTGTTTATTCTGGGCCCCACTGAGGACCACCTATTTTATATATGTTGGTTCTTCATAGCTTATTCTTTATACGTAAAATCTTACCATCTCCACAAACATCTCAGAATCTTGATGACCATTTTCCCATGGTGTCCTTTTTTCCTAGGATGTTCGTGGAAGACCAGGACATAGATGAGGGGATTTTCTGTGACACTGTATTCAAGCACTTCAAAAGACATAAGCTGGAGATTTCAAATGCAATAAAAAAGACATTTCCATTCCTTGAGGGCCTCCATGACCGTGAACTCATCACAGATAAAATGTTTGAAGTAAGTAAAGTTTATTATGTCACAACTGGCAGATATGCTTTCATATTTTTCAAGTATTTCTGTAAGTGCTCCTGTAAAGTAGAAAAAAAAGAGGAGAATCAGAGATCACTGGAGATGGTCCTGCTTCCAGCTGAGGGAATGGTGTTCCATGGTGCCCTCTCGAGCTGAGGTGAATGACTCTGGAGAGACTGGAACAGAAACAGGTGTTCTCCATAAATGTACAATGTTTTATAGAATTCATACACTATAACATAGACTAAAATTTAAAAATAATTTTGGTGAGTTTATTTACTGAAATAGTAATTGACAGAGCATTTTATTTCAATTAACATCAATTTAAAATACTTAGATCTGAGACCATTAAAACCCACAGGGAACCGGTGTCTAGACTGGACAAATTTGGAAGTAGATGCTTGTTATTCTTTCTCCAACACATTTGTTTTCATTCTTTTTTTTTTTTTTTGGTACATTTCCGTAGTCTTGGAATCTGGGTAAATTCCACCCATAGGCCCTGTTGGAGATACAGAGCAGCGAGTCTTCTCTGGCTATGAATATGCTTCCTCTGTGACCAAGTTCACAGCAAGGGGAGAATGGTATCTGGTTTCCTTGAGCCCTTCAGGCCAGATCAGTCTTGGGGGAAGAGCAGGGGTTGTCCAGTCAACAGAACAGCCACTCATCGACCGCCTGCTACGTCTATCCCCAAAAATGTATCAGTCAGGCTGTTAAAGGACTTTGAGTTCACGTTTATCCTTCAAAATTGTTCCTTTTTTGTACCTAATGTAAATTGGTATGAGGAGATCAGACTCATTAGTGGATATTTTTTAAGAGTAAGGATGTACTTTTTTCATTACTGGCTATCGAAATACATAAAAGTTAGAAAACTTTACATGCAAAGATACCTCTGAAGATAAATTGAAATTCAGTAACCATAAAATTTCTTTCTATGGCTTTTCTGTAACTTGAAAATCTGTATTTGTATTTTCTCCATTCGATATTTTTAAAGGATTCTCAAGATTCTTGTAGAAACCTGGTCCCTGTGCAAAAAGTGGTGTACAATGTCCTCAGTGAACTGGAGAAGACATTTAACCTGTCAGTTCTGGAAGCGCTGTTCAGCGAGGTCAACATGCAGGAATACCCCGATTTAATTCACATTTATAAAAGCTTCAAAAATGGTAATTAAGTTCATTATCTACCTTTTGAGTTCCAGAGCCAACTTTTTCAGTAAGCATATGTTGAGCTCCTACCATGTGTAACACATTGTGTTGGGCAGTAGGGATAGAGTAGTTAACATAACAGATGTGTCATGAGCCTTCTCAAAGCTCATGGTATTTGGCTATGGCAGAACATACTCATGGAGGTGTGCATAACTAGCCACATAGACTCACGGGACACCCAGAGCTGCACTGGTATCAGATTTACTTAGAAGATAAGAAACACAGGACCCCAGTGGGGCAGTATCAGTTGCTTCTTCTCTTTAGTGGGAGTCCTTGCAGTGGTCTACATAGCAGTCCAGCAAACTGACTACTACCTGCCTTGAGTGACAGCTTAGCTGTGGGTGCAGGATCCACTTTTACTTAGCACTGCATGCCTGCGGGAGTCTATATCTCTTGTAACAACTCCATAGTCATAGCTTTCAGGGTGGCATAGTTCCAGCCAAACAGTCATGGGTCATTTCTAAGCCCAGGGTTTGCCCAGTAACACCAGGAAAAGGCTACCTTTATTAGGTTTCCAAAATAATCAACAAGAAAATTAACCTTGGGTCTAGTTTGCCCTTAGTGAAGGATAGATGGTTTTGATAACCCTTTACACACAAGGGGTAAAAGAAACATTAATCGGATAATCCCAAAACTGATTGTTCTCGCAGGGATGATTTTTTGGTGCTATACCAAACTAAAAGTTTGATTCTTGGCTTTTTCCTGAGAAGGCATAATTTATACAGTTATAGTGGTACACAGTAAAGAAGATGCCCTCTATTTTATTGTACTTGCCAGGAAAACTTGTATTCCCCTCACAGATTGATCTCAACTAAGTTCTCCAAACAAGAGACAGAGACATTACAAGAAAAATGTGCCCAGAAGAGGTTGGATGCTCTGGGAATTGGAATATAAGTGTGAAAGCATGTTTGCAAAGCAGGACAAACTGGATTTGGTGAAATCTGAGAGTGAGAAGCGGTACAGGAGGAGACTTGAGAGAGCTAACTTGGAGGAAGATATTGAATGGTCTGGAATCCAGAGCTAAGGAATTTGAAGCCTATTTACTAGGCAATAAAGAAATACTACAGATTTATAAACAAGAAAAAGTTTAAGCAGTTATATATGGTATGGCTTATTGATTTGTGTCAATACTAACATCATCTAGATTTAAAATAAAATAATTTTTGTCACAAGTCAGAAAGTGAATAAAAAGAAATCAAGTACTTGGGCATGAATTTCAAGTCAATGTTATGTTTGTAGCCAGGATGGTCCAGGCTGCAGGGATGAGGGAATGGTGCTACCTTTACTGCCTACATTCTCAGAGGCTCTGTTCCTCTCCATGGACTTCGGGGATCCCTCTTCCTATCCCCAGTGCCCACAACTCACATGTTAGTTTCTGGCACTCCTTATGCTTGGGTAACCCCCACTGAGCCTCACTGTCACCCTCCTGGGGCAGCACTGGGCACCGCTCCACCCAGCGTAGCAGCCCACTCACCCTCAGGGAGATGCTGCTGATTCTCAGACCCTGAAGTCCACACAAGCGGCCCATGTGTCCTCTGTAATGTTTACTTGGGAACTATTCATCCTCCCTGACCCAATTAAGCCAACATTCTCCTGTTTTCTAGCCCAATTTTTAGCTGTTGGGGTTTTCTCTTTTATTTATTTATGTTTTTGGAGATAGGGTCTCATTCTGTTGCCCAGACTGGATGGCAGGCTAGTGAGCTATCTCTGCTCACTACAACCTTGACTTCCTGGACTCAAGCAGTCCTCCCACATCAGCCTTCCAAGTAGCTGGGACCACATGTGCACACAACCACATCTGGCTACTTTTGCTAATTTTTTTCAGACATAAGGCCTGGCTGTGTGGTCCAGGCTGGTCTCAAAATTCTAAGCTCAGGTGATGCTCCTGCATCGGCCTCCCACAATTTTATGATTACAAGTGTGAGCCATTGCACCTGACCAGTTTTCTCTTTTATAATGGAGTCTCTTTAGGACCTGAGATCATCTTTCCAGGGAATCCTTCAGTTTCTTCCTTACATGATATATGCCTACCCTGCCATCTGACAATTTTGGGGGTAACAAAACTCACGATGTTTCCATTTCTCCTTTATCCTTAACTCTTGAGTATCCCTTTTCTGTGTAGGACACATAAAAGCTCATTGTTGAGGTTATCCCTTTCTCTGTCCCAGAAGATGATGGGAGTTTAAGTCATGTGTAACCCTCTGAGCTCTTAAGTTACCCAAAGGCTGGAAATTCCTAAAAGCCAGTTTCCCAATGTTGTCCCTGGTTCTCGCAGATCTTTAATTGCTTTCTTCTCTCTCCTGCTCTTCAGCGATCCAAGGCAAATTATGTTTCCAAGAAAGTGACGGAAAAGAAAAGAAAGAGAGGCCTGACATCCAGCTAAGTCTTAAACGAGGTAAAAATGACAGAATAGAAACTGTTTTTTATCTGCTGAGAGTAAAAGGAGATGAGGGAGGTGAGGGCCCAAGGTTCTGAGGGGAGACTGAGTCAGGGAAGACATGCAGAAGGACCTTGGAGAAGTCAAGGAGGGAGTTGTATGAGCTCCTAACCAGATGTAGGGTCCTGGGGAAGTGGCCACGACAAGACATCATTGGCTTAATAACCATGAGGGAATCAGAGCCAAGTGTGTCAGTAGGCCAGACTATCAGATGTCAACTACCTAGAAGTACTTGTGATTTAGAAAGGTCCCTGTAGGAGGTCAGTATGAAGCTTTGAAGTGTTAAGAACCACAGCCCATGGCCCATGGTCAACATGAAAGAGGAGAGCCTTAGGGGAAGAAAAGCTCCTGTTGTATCTGTACCCTCACATTCTCAACACTTCTGACACCAAACATGTGGAGAATCTCCCCACACCAAGCAGGTCTCCAATTCTATGCAGATTTGTGAGCCCCATCCTTAGGGGCTTTCCAAAAGTTACCTTCTTAACAAACTCAGTGTTGGTTGAGAGGAGCTTGTTACGAATAACAGAAGGTGCTCTTTTCACTTTCATTACTTATGTAGTAAGTAATGAAAGTGAAAAGATGTTTCAAGGGTTTTAGTAGCTCTGGACAGGAGCAGGGGATGAAGACTGAAATATATATTTCTTATGATATCACAGGAGACAATTGGTGATGGCAGAAGAGGGGACCAATTTAAATGCGGGGATGCTGATCAAGAGCAGGAAGAGTCAAAGAGAAAGGCAGCCGTGTAGAGGGACTCAGAGGAGAAGTGGTGCAGACGTGGACTGGATATAGAATTTAGAGAGAGAGAAGGAAGGAGGGGAAATGAAAGAGTGAAAAAGGAATAAAGGACAACAAAAATAACCATGTTATTAACAGCTCATTTTGACTGAATGTCTACTCCATGGCAATTGTGAGTTTAATGCTCCTGACTGCCATGAGATTTGTATTCCTTATTGTCCATTTTGCACACAAGAAACTGAAATCTGGACAGACCACTTATGAAGTTTGCCTAGGGTCAAATAAGCAAGGAAGAACCCCCCCCAACCAAGCATTCTAAGCCAGATCCTTGTTCTCTGTGATACTCAGGGAATCTAATAAAAAAGGCAGAAACATAAAACAAAATTGGGAAAATTGATGCAGACAGAAAGATACAGAAAAAGAAAATAATACCATGACTAGAGGAAGTGGTGGCAACTCAGACGTGGAATCCTCATGGAAAGGCCAATCGGCCTGGGTTCAATGTGAGCTTGGAGGTTCGGGCACGGGTACCAGCTGGAATATCTATAAATAAGGAAACTGCTGATTTTATATAGAGCTTTACGAAACATAGTTCAGGCACTACAGACCTTCAGAAATAGGAGTATTTATGAATAGTTTAGCATTTAGCCATCAATGCGGGTTTTCTGGAGGGGGCTGCTGCTGACTGGCTGGCCTTCAGATGTGTAGAGCTGCCGCTGATGGGCTGGCTCTCAAAAGGTGGTTAGTGATGTAAGTAGTCAAGGGACAATTAGGACAAGTTGAAACCATTATTTCTTTCCATTTTTGAAGAGCATTAGTATTTTCTGCAATGATAAGAGCTTTGTTTTTTCTTTTTTCATCTCAGGACTACAAACAGAAAAACAAAAGTAGAGAAAAGGGGGATGAGGTGCAAAGCAAGGGGAGAGCATGGCTCTGTTGTGGGTCAGGTGTGGTTACTGGAGTAGGTGCTTTTTTTCCAGAGAGCATTTCATTTTAGCTCAGAATATTGGTGTGCAGCATGACGGCACTGGGAACTCTTCTCTGGTCACTGTCTAGAGGTCAACCAATGAACACAGGTGACCTCTAGAAGCTGAAAAAGCAAGAAAATAGGTTGTCCTCTCCAGACCCCAGAAAGGAATAAAGTGCTACTGACATCATGAGTTTAGACAGTGAGACCCGTGTCACACTTCCCACTGACATAACTGGAAGATAATAAAACACAATAATAAAAATCAAATAATTGTCTTGTTTTCTAGTATCTGGTTAACTAGATCACCAAATGACTAAAGAAGGAGAATCAGAAGAGCTTGCTTCTAGCTTGCTGTGATGTGATGTTCCAAATAATTGTAACTTTAAACTAATAAAAACAGAAACAGAGTTCTGATAAAGAAAAAAGACAGAAGGGGATAAAAAGGGGGACTTCAAGGAAGAGTCAAATATAGGAAGAAGCAGTGAAGGAAGATTTCAAGGGAAAAGTAGAGAAAGGGGTAGCAACCAGCATGCAGAAAAGAGGGCCACTGGGGCAAAGTGAATGTTCATAAATCACCATTTTGGCCAGGGGCAGAGCTACCAGCATGTGAAAATGGTTCCCGTGTCATGTGTTCCTCAGAAGAAGGCCCGGAAGCAAAGATGGAAGGTGACCAAGCATGTGGCCAAGTGGGTAAGGCTGCCTGAGGGCTGTGGGGTGGGGTGGCTCAGTGGGCCCCGTAGACCCTGGGAAGAGTGGAGGCAGGTGCTCCAGCCAGCCCAGTATCCTGTTCTCTGCATTTGCTTCACCCGAGACTTTGGGAAACAGCAGGGAGGCAAGAGATTATCATAAAGTTTTATTTTTCAAGATAGGCTCTGTTTATTACATGTGAATGATGTCATAGAACAGTGCTCTTTAAAGTGGTCGTTATCTTGTTTATTGCATTAATATGTTAAATCACACTCCATATTCCGTGGTCCCTAAGATAGCGCAGTGAGCTTCTGCTGGTACATAATAGTGTCACTCTGCTACACCTTTGGAAGGCCTCACCCAAAAGACAACTAATCCTCATACTTAATTGTCAGGAGGGAAGACTGCAGGTCTACTCTTCTTAGCCCAGCACGTATTTTTGTTAGAAGACCCAGGGCTCATCCTAGACTTCTAGTCCTCAGTTCAATGGATTTTTGGTTCTTCTAGAAGGACGAGAGGAATGACTATCCAAACATCTTTATAAACCCAAGCCTTCTATAGTATGAATTGTCCTAAATTCCATAACTTTTATTTGTTAATTTCTGTTTCCTCACCACCACTTGTTATTTTCTAGATACTGTGGATGTTGGAAAAAATTCTACTTTGGGAAAACCCAAGAGGAAAAGAAGTAAGAATAAATAAGAATGTACTTGCTTTTGGTGTTACAAATACATTTTTAATGCCAGAGTTTTATTGGTTCCTTCTTCCAAGAAGGAAGGTTGTCTTCTCCAGCCTCCAGAAAGGAATGAAGGCCTACTGACACCTTGACTTTAGACAGTAAGACCAGTGTCATACTTCTCACTGGCGTGACAGGAAGATGATATATTTGTGTTTTGTTTACACCACTAAATTTGTGTAATTTGTTACGGCAACAATGAACAGTAATACAGATTTTGGTACTTGGCAGTGGAGTGTGGCTATAACATTCCTGAAACTGTGGGGGTGTCTTAGAAATTGGGCAATGGAAACAGGCTGGAAGAATTTTAAATAGTGTAATAGGAAAAACCTACATAAAACAATGGAAAATAAGCCAATCAATAACCCTGCAATGGCCGGTAAGTGCTCAAGTTAAAGGAAGAGTCACATGTATCTCTTTTTAAATAAAAATCTAGGAGTGATGAAGCTTAGCAAGGAAGCCATGTCAAAAGCTGAGATCAGCTGCAAACTAGGCCTCTTGCAGCAAATAATTGGCCAAGTTATGAATGCAAAGGAAAAGTTCTTCAAGGAAATTAAAAGTGCTGCTCCAGGGAACACTTGAATGATAAAATGGAACAGTCTTATTGCTGATGTGGAGAAAGCTTGAGTGGTCTAGGTAGAAGATCAAATCAGCCACAACATTCTCCTAAGCCAAAGCCTAATCCAGAGTAAGGTCTTAACTCTCTTTACTTTTACGAAGGCTGTGAGATGTAGGAAGCTTCATAAGAAAAGTTTGAAGGTAACAGAGGTTAGTTGAATGATTCTTCTGAAAGGATTCAGAAGTCCGTTGAAAATCTTCTGAAAGGACTCACCATTTCACTTGCAATTAAGAACATTCATGGTTCATAAGAGGGGGTCAAAATATCAGCAATAACAGGAATTTGGCAGGTTTAACATCCCAAGGCTAACCTAACATAGCTGGGAAAGGTAGATTCAATGAGACATGTTTTCTGTGCTTCTAAGTGTTCTGTCCCTTAGGCTGTTATTGCTTCATGTTTCCATTACGGCAAGTTGGCAGGTTTAGAGAAATCTTTAAAAAGAAAAATTGACTTGCTTTTCTCAAACCACAGTGCCCCCTTAACCTCCATTACTTAGTATCTCTTACAGTTTGCTCTGGCTCTCAAATAATGCAAAAATTGGTGAGCACTATTCACAGAAAATGGGCACCTTCTCTCTCTTTTCCAGCATGTTTTGAAAGCGTCGTAGGATAGTGGGAAGAGCACTCGTTTATAGGAATCAAGGGATCTGGGTTCTAGTTCTGCTCAGTCTCAGCAGAGCTGATGTATAACCTTGGTTAAGCCATTTAGCCTCTTTTGATTTCCATTTCCTCATCTGCAAAATAGCATTAAATGTACGTAAGATTGATTCTGATTCTGAAGTCATAGCTGCTAGCAGAAAAACTCCATACTGTTCATCGTAAAACTAAAAGTGAGGAAGGCCCACGGGTGGTGAGCCTTTGCTCTGTAATACTGGGAAAGTACTATAGAAGTGAACCATTTGAGGACTACATGAGAAGAGAGTAAATTGAGGTTTGGGGATTAAAATTCAGGCAAGAGAACCTTATAGATATCATAGTCTTGAGGGGGGAAAAAAAAAGCAATGCTTAAGAAGCTAGCCATGGAAACTTCTTGCCTCTTACCCAGCCCACTTTCACAGCCTGCATCTGGGCCTTAGCTGCTAAAAAGCTTCTCTGGCAGCAGAGCTGCAAGCCTGAGGAAACATGTTCAGTCATACACATATGTTGACCCATGTTTCAGATGCAATCTGATGTCAGATATGTTGTTAGAGAAAGCGGAAGAAGGATAAACTGAGCTAGCGCCTGTGATTTAGTATTACTGCAGGGTTGGAGGAGCAGATTTTTAGAAGACATTCGCCTTGGAGGAAGCTGGGGAAAGTGCTTAGGGAGGAAGAGGAGGAAGACTGAGAAATCTCTGCATTCCCAGAACTCAGCAACCCAGCTCTGTGTGATGAGGAGAGGTAGCTATGCTGATTCATGAACAGGTAGAGGAAAGGAGTGGCAGGTAACCAGCATCTTCAATCTAGTTATCACGAGATTGGCTAGAATCTTATTAAAAGCAACTTGCTGACTATGACAGAGCAGGCCAGGGTGAGAACTATATGTTCAAGAGAGCAGGATTCTGTAATCCTCTTGCCCTCTCACATCACAGATTCTGATATGCCAAACATTTGGCCCAATGAGAATGGCTGATAGACTTGCTGATGTACATGTGGGGGAGTGAGATGTGTATGTTTTTCTCCTGACTGGCCATTCAGTGTGCAGGCTGTCATTCAGATTGGATAGGAAAAAGTTGGTGAGAAAGGAATGGCGAGAGCAGGATCCCTGGACTCCCTGCTTCTCAAAGTCCTTGACGATCACTTGTAATTGTATATAATTTTTGTGTTTCTTGCTCCATTTCCTCATGCTGTCATCCTTAATCTAAAGTCTATGTGGAAATGGGAAAATTCTGAGCATCATGATATAATTTCTTCAACTGTCTGAGCCATGTTATACATAGTTGTACATAGATACATTATTTTATATATATATGATCTATAACACACATGGAATTCATTTATTGGTGTGTGATGCGAGATAGTCATTAAGAGATATAACCCCAATACTCTTATCTTCATCATTTGAAATACCATTTTATGTATGTTTTCCAGTATGCACAGATATGTGTCTTACCACATTTCTTTATCCATTCGTCTGTTGATGAAGACTTAGGTTGTTTCTATGTCTAAACTACTGAGAATTATGCTGCAATGAACATGGGGGTGCAGACATCTCTTTGAGATACGGGTTTCATTTCCTTTGCATATATACCCCAAAGTGAGATTTCTGGATGGTATGTTTTTCTATTTTTAATTTTTTGAGGAACCTCCATACTGTTTTCCATAATGGCTGTACCGATTTACATTCCCACTTACAGCATACAAGGGTTCCTTTTCTCCACACCCTCACCAATACTTGTTACCTCTTGCCTTTTTGATAATAGTTATCCCAATAGGTGTGAGGTGATATTTCATTATGGTTTTGAGTTACATTTCTCTCATGATCAGTGATGTTGAGTGCTTTCTTATAACCTGTTGGTTATTTATATGTCTTCTTTGGGAAAACATTTATTCAGATTCTTTGCCTGTTTTTAAATCAGGTTATGACATGATTTTCTTTTGTTTTTTTTGCTATTGAGTTACACGAATTCTTTGTATATTTTACGTAGTAACCCTTATCAAATATATGGTTTGCAAATATTTTCTCCTATTCCATAGGTTGCCTTTTCATTTTTAAAATTATCTCCTCTGCTGTACAGAACTTTTTAGAGTGATGCAGTTCCACTTGCTTACTTTGCTTTTGTTGCCTGTATTTCTGGTGTCTTATCTAAAAAACAAATGGAGAGCAAAAATAAATAATAAATAAATAAAAAGCAGGAGTTGCAATTCTCATATCGGATAAAATAGATTTTAAAGCAACAAAGATATAGTGGTAAAAGGATCAATGCAACAACAAGAGCTAACGATCCTAACACCCAGATACATAGAGACTTAGACACAATGAGACAGAAAATTAATAAGAATATCAAGGACTCGAACTCAGATCTGGAACAAGTAAACTTAATAAATATTTATAGAGCTCTCCACTTCAAATACACAAAATATACATTCTTGTCAATACCACATCACACCTACCCATAAGCTTAAATGAAACATTGATTGGCCATCATTAATACCCATTTTTTTCAAAATAAAGCAATATTTCCATTTACTCTCCCTCTTTCTCTTCCTCTTTCTTCCTCTCCTTTACTTATTTTTTTTTTCTTTCCTTCTCTCAAAAAAAAAAGAAATCAACTCGTAAACCTCTAGATCCAGGTCGGCAATGTCTCTCTCATTGCTTGAATTCCTTCCTTCCCTTCCCTCCCTCCCTCCCTCGCCGCTTCCTCCCTTCCTTCCTTCCTCCCTTCCTTCCTCCCTTCCTTCCTTCCTTCATCCCTTCCTTCCTCCCTTCTTGCCTTCCTCCCGCCCCCCCCCCCAAAAAAATAATAATTGCCCAGACTAACATCAAGGAGCTTTTTCCCTGTTTTCTTCTTTGAATTTTATGGTTTCCTATCTGACATTTAAGCCTTTAATCTATTTTGAGTTAATTTTTATATATGGTGTAAGCCAAGTGTCTAATTTCATTCTTTTGCTTGTGGATATTCAGCTTTCTCAGCATCATTTATTGAAGAGACTGTCTTTCCCCATTGTTTATTATCGGCACCCTTGTCAAAATTAAGTGCCCCTTCTTGATATTTGTATTTACCATACTGCTGGAAGTCCTAGTCAGAGCAATTAGGCAAGAAAAAAAAAGTCACCCAAATTGGAAAGAAGTTAAATTGTCTCTGTTTCCAAGTGACATGATCTTCTACGTAGGAAACCCTACAGACTCCACCAAAAACTGTTAGAACTAATAAATGAATTCAGAAAAGTTTCAGGCTTTACAGATCAGTTGTGTTTCTGTGCACTAACAATGAACTGTCCATAAAAGAAATCAAGAAGGGCCGGGCGCGGTGGCTCACGCCTGTAATCCCAGCACTTTGGGAGGCCGAGGTGGGTGGATCACGAGGTCAAGAGATCGAGACCATCCTGGTCAACATGGTGAAACCCTGTCTCTACTAAAAATACAAAAAAAATTAGCTGGGCATGGTGGCGTGTGCCTGTAATCCCAGCTACTCAGGAGGCTGAGGCAGGAGAATTGCCTGAACCCAGGAGGCGGAGGTTGCGGTGAGCCAAGATCGTGCCATTGCACTCCAGCCTGGGTAACAAGAGCGAAACTCTGTCTCAAAAAAAAAAAAAAAAGAAATCAAGAAAACAATCCCATTTAAAATAGCAACAAAAAGAATAAAATGGGAGCAAATTTACCAGGGGTGAAATACTTGCACACTGACAACTATGACACTGATAAAAGAAGTTGAAAAAGATACAAATAAATGGAAAGACATCTCATGTTCACAGACTGGAAGAATAGTGTTAAAATATCCATATTACCCAAAGTGATCTGGAGTGTCAATATAATCTCTATCAAAATTTCAATGACATTTTTCACAGAAATAGGAAAAGGAATCCTGAAACTGGTATAGAACCATAAAAGACCCAAATAGTCAAAGTAATCTTGAAAAAATGGAACAAAGCTGGAGGTATCACACTGTATGGTTTTAAACATTATCTTTTAAGAAGAAATTTAAGCAACTCTCCTCTGGGGATATTAAGAAAATCTCTTCTGGGGGCATGTCCTCTGGAAAATTTCTAAGGAGGGAGATGGTCTCCACTTTATACTGGTCAGGGAATAAATCTGCCCTGTAATCTGGAGGCTATGTGATTTCCAGCTTCCAAGGCTGCTTGCTCTTCAAACGGCCTTGCGATACCCTGACACCATGAGTATAGAAATGCCATGGAGAGTTGCTTCTCAACAAATTATTTCCACATTTTTGCTTCCGGCAAATTTCTTCATGAAGACACCACCCCATCAGCCACTCTGATTAATCTGACCCATGGGTCCAAATCCATTCCATTTGTTAAATGTTGTAGGAACAAATGGCAAATGTAGTTGCAGTGGCTCACTCATTATCTCAGCACTTTGGGAGGCCAAGGCAGAAGGATCACTTGAGGCCAGGGGTCCAAAAACAAGCCTGGGCAAGATAGTGGAACCACATCTCTACACACACACACACACACACACACACACACACTTCATAAACATGAATGCTTTAGATCCCTTATGACCACTTGACCACCTCTAAGGTCCAAATTAATGCCTGGCTTTCAGAGAAGAAGCACAATCCCCAGGGCATACAAGGTACTCCCCAAAGGGAAGTGTTTACAGCTGTTGAGCTTCCCTGGGTGAGCTATACATTTGTCAGGGGGAAGGTAAACAGTGCCTCCTACATGACTACTGGCTGGCTGTATGCCTTCTGTTCATTGTGCCATTGCACTCCAGCCTGGGTAACAAGAGCGAAACTCCGTCTCAAAAAAAAAAAAAAAAAAAAGAAATCAAGAAAACAATCCCATTTAAAATAGCAACAAAAAGAATAAAATGGGAGCAAATTTACCAGTGGTGAAATATTTGCACACTGACAACTATGACACTGATAAAAGAAATTGAAAAAGATACAAATAAATGGAAAGACATCTCATGTTCACAAACTGGAACAAACAGTTCTGTTCATTGCGTCCAGTCCTTGATGTGTTTGTGTGTGGCGGTGGGGAGGAGGTGGGCATGTGGGGGGACTGCTTAAGGACAGTCTGTCCAATCTGTCCTCTTTGTCCATGATACCAACCAGGTAACAGTCACCCCCCACCAACAAATGACTGAGAACAGGGGTGGGGACAATGTCTAGCGGGTTCTGTGTGGGACCTCAGAAGCTGGGGCTAGCCCCTGCTGTCTTATGGCTGGTGTAGAGAGGTCAACTCAGCATTCTCAGAGACGGGAGCATTGGAGCAGGGTGTTTTCTTGGTGGATGAAGGGTCTGGGGTAGTTTTGAAAGACAGATATCACCAATGCTCCTTTTTCCTCCATAGCTCCTAGGGTTGGAGAAGCCGACTCAGCTTTCTCAGTGGTGAGAGCACTGGAGCAGGGTGTTTTCCTTCTGGACAAAGGGTCCAGGGTAATTCTGAAAGACAGATCTCACTAATGCTTCTGTTTTCTCCGTACCTCGTAGGGTTGGAGGTGCTCTCACCTTTGATGTCTCAATGTTTGCTCTTGCTTCACTGCTGCAAAATCTGTCTGTACCATTCCAGTGGCTGTACCTTCATCTTTTATCCTAATCATCTCCTTTTCTCACTTAGATCTTCTATCCACAAAACTAGATACAAATAGAGCAAAAGCATTTTCATTAACCGTGTCTGGAGTTGAATCTGAATCCCCTGGGCACTCTGAAGGCTGTGCCCATCAGGCTGGTAGGGGAAGGAATGAGGCATCATCCCTGGGAATGGTCACAACAGAATCCTGAATTTTCAAGATAGGTCTACAGAGCACTTGCAATCACCTACCACCTTTGTCCTGGTCACTGTCCAGGAGGGAGATGGTCCCTTCCTGGGGACTGCTCCCTTCAGTGAGCCTCCTGCCCTCCCATGGTGTATGAACAGGAGATGAGGGACATTCAGAAAATCAGTGCATTGTGGAGTCACTTTTCTGATAAAGGGCACATCAGACTGCAAATGGGCCAGACAGCCAGATTCATGACACTGATGACTTTCTGGGGTCACAATAGCATTCTTGGAGTCAGCTGCTCTGCAGCCTGAAGGAGAGCTGACAGTGCTTAGGCACTGCTGAGACTGTTTAATGAAATTATATAGAAATTATATAACAATTATGTAATTACATAATGAAAACTTTCCACATCAGAGTTCAGAATATCTCCCAACTTCTAATAGGGAATATTCTCCATAACAAGCTTCAAGGACTATACCTTCTCATTGCATATTTCAATTTACACAACAAACACTTGAAAAGGGAACAAGAAACAGCAGTTATCATTCACTCTAAGGTGGCAGCAAGAGTTAGTTTTCCATTAAAAATTTTGTTTCCAAGGAAGGCAATCTCCTAGTCTCCCAAACCCATGGCTCAAGGATCATGCAGAATTAATATAGATCTCTGTACTCTACTTTCCACTAGTACACTGATCATAAAATAATTTGCCCCATTCCAGTGGACCAAAGTATTTTTTTAAAAAATCCTGTATGCTACTAGCATATGAAACTCAGAGAATTATATTTATACCTCTGCATAATTAACTTTATTCTCTTTGGTTTGAAGAAAAAAAGAAGGGGCATTCCTGGACCAGAATAAAAAGGACAACGCAGAAAAAAATCCAACAGAATGGTAAGCAGGCAGACTGAAGTAGTTACAGCTTTTGAGTTTATTAGGGCACTGCCCATTGTATTCCTGAAGGCCTGCAGTTCCTGAGGCCCGGGATAGTTCTGTACCTCCTGTATCAGTTAGGATGTAGACTAACAGGCTGTGACAAAGAGGCCTGAGAATGCAGTGGCCTCAACAAAATAGTTTTTCATGCATGTAATAGTCCGGAGATCCACAGTTAACAGGGAGGTGTTATCATCCTCAGTATGACTTTATTTCTTAGCTCAAGAAATTTTTAGTAATTTGGAAAAATCTTCCTAAGAGAGCTAAATGAAGAAAGCAAGGTTTATGTGTATGTGTGTGCAATTGTAAAATATGTATGTACATATATGTATTACTGTATTTTATGTGAAATTTATGCTTGTGAAAGTATGTTTTTATGTATCTATAAATCCTTATGCAGGCATATGTAATTATTCGTCTGTGTGTATAAAGAGATAGAAAAATCAATGGCAGTTTATAAAGATACATGCAGTGATTACATTTGATCAGTATAATAGAGGTGATGTTTATATTTTCATTCGTGATATTTGAATGTAAGCGCGTATATCAAAATTTTTGAAATCTTCAAATTTTATAATGAAAAAGTTTTCTTTAAAAAATAACATAGGCAAAAAGAAAAGCCTAGAGAATATTTTTGAACAAATCACTGTCTGGAGATAACCATCCTCATCTGTGGGCTATCTAAAGATGATGATATTTTAGACCATTTTATTTTCTGAATTTTCCATAATTATATATGTTATTTATTTTAGTCATGGTCTAAGTATTTCCTTTCTCCTAGTCAGTGAAGGCTAAGTTTTATTTTCCAAATGATGGTCAATTTTGAATTGGTGCATCTATACAGTAAGATTTTAGAGTCCTATTGAAAATTGTTAATTTTCACCAATCTACGTATCTTCTGTTCTAGCCAGTTTAAGTGTCTGCCCAGTTTGTGGATGTACATTTTTGTTTGGAAAGAAAAAAAAAGTGGTTGCATCTATTTTAAGAATAGGGATTTTTGACCAGATGCGGTGGCTCGCGCCTGTAATCCCAACACTTTGGGAAGCTGAGATGGGTGGATCACTAGAGGTTAGAGTTCAAGGTCAGCCTCCATGATGAAATCCCGTTTCTACTAAAAATACAAAAATTCGCTGCATGTGGTGGTCACTGCCTGTAATCCTAGCTACTGGGGAGGCTGAGGCACAGGAATCACTTGAACCTGGGAAGCAGAGGTTGCAGTGAGTGGAAACTGTCACTGCACTCCAGTGTGGGTGACAGAGCAAGACTCTTGCCTCAAAAAACAAAACAACAAAACCAAGGATGGGTGTTTTCAAATTAAAAATTTATTTGGACTGAGTCATTATAATATTTTCATTTAAGTCTGTGTGTATATGGATAAATTCTGAGAGACTTCAATGTACAATTAAATCCTGTGTGTAATTTAAAAGTCGACACTCCTAAAAGCAGAAAATGCTCTGGATACCTGCTTGAGGTTCCTTGTCTGAGTGTCTGAAGAAAGGGGATCCAGAATCAAACCCAGGACTCCCTCACCAGCTTTTGGTCCAGCCAGTCAGCTGTTGTTCTGCCCTGTTCTATTAATACGTTTTCCTCTGCCCATCCCCAGATAACGGCAAAGCCGATAGCCAGCTGGTCTCCAGTGAAAAGAAGGCGAACGTGAATCTGCCAGGCCCTTCCAAGATTACGGGTCAGATAAAGTTTGTACCACTTTTCATTTGCCCTACAGGTCAATGCAAATGTTGTTGAGGTTTTGAGAAGCCTAGATCATTTTTGTTTACTGGTCAATTTGAGAGCAGTGAAATTTGAAAAAAAGCAAACCCATTATAAGCCAGGGTTGTAAGTTGTTTGTATTCATATCAGATCTTATCTTTACAGGTTCTAAAATTGTTTTCCCCTGTGTTTTATCTGATTTTCCTGGAAATTCCTTTGCCTTAAATCCTTGGGTAATTAAAATGTCTGGACCTGGTAAATTGTGCACAGAATACCTGCTTATTCTCTCACTACCCTTTCAAGTCCTCCTCCTATATGAGTTATTTCCTGTCTTGAGCAAACCCTATCACTTTCCTCTTCCCTTTTAACAACAATAAGAGTCTCATTTCAGTAGTGAGGATCCTTTCTGACCAAGTATTAAAATTCCAGTGTCCTCCCCCGTTTAAAGTACCTTGCCTCCTTCAGCCTGGGCAAGCCTTAGTCTGGAACACATATAGTTGGGGGTGACATGCTCAGTATCTTCTCTTATTTTCTCTTGGCCCTACCCCTACTCCATAGCTGTTGGCTTGGTCCCATCCAGGATTGGGGAGGTGAAAGAGAGGAGTAAGATCAGAGTGTAAAGTGTCTTTCCTGAAAGGTGCAGCCATGAAATGACATCGCAAGTGAGTGATGCACAATCATCGGCTCTTTCTTCCATGAGTCACTTTCATCAACTTCACTGCAAGGGAAGGTAAGGGGTTAGGCATCACAGCTTGACTTCTTTTGAAGGAAATAGAGCTTTACTTCTACAACTTGGATGTGAGTGAATGGCTGAACCTGGCATAATCAGTTCATGGAAACTGAACAACTGGCTTTTGAATGTTGACTGGATAAACAATGAAATGAAGGCAGATATAAAGACGTTCTTCAAAACCAACAAGAATGAAGACACAACATACCAGAATCTCTGGGACACATTTAAAGCAGTGTCTAGAGGAAAATTTATAGCAATAAATGCCCTCATGAGAAACAAGGAAAGATCTAAAATCGACACCTATCGTCAAAATTGGAAGAGTTAGAGGAACAAGATCAAAAAAACTCAAAAGCTAGCAGAAGACAAGAAATTACTAAGATCAGAGCAGAACTGAAGGAGATAGATACACAAAAAACCCTTCAAAAAATCAATAAATCCAGGATTTATTTATTGATTACACTGTGGTCTGAAGGATTGTTTGTTATGATTTTCATTCTTTTGCTTATGCTGAGGAGTGATTTACTTCCAATTATGTGGTCAATTTTAGAGTAGGTGTGATGTGGTGCTGAGAAGAATGTATATTCTGTGGATTTGAAGTGGAGAGTTCTGTAGATGTCTATTAGGTTTGCTTGTTCCAGGTCTGAGTTCAAGTCCTGTATATCCTTGTTAATTTTCTGTCTTGTTGATCTGTCTAATATTGACAGTGGAGTGTTAAAGTCTCCCACTATTATTGTGTGGGAGTCTAAGTCTCATTGCAGGTCATTGAGAACTTGCTTTATGTATCGGGGTGCTCCTGTATCGGGCACGTATATATTTAGGATCGTTAGCTCTTCTTGTTGCATTAATCCTTTTACCATTATGTAATGCCCTTCTTTGTCTCCTTTTATCTTTGTTTGGTTTAAAGTCTATTTTATCAGACACTAAGATTGCAACTCCTGCTTTTTTTTTTTCTTTCCGTTTGCTTGGTAAATCTTTCTCCATCCCTTTATTTTCAGCCTATGTGTATCCTTGCATGTGAGATGGGTTTCCTGGAGACAGTACACTGATGGGTTTTGGCTTTTTATCCAATTTGCCAGTCTGTGTCTTTTGATTGGGGCATTTAGCCCATTTACATTTAAGGTTAATATTGTCATGCCTAAATTTAATCCTCTCATTTTGATGCTAGCTGGGTATTTTGCCCATTAGTTGATGCAGTTTCTTCATTGTGTTGATGCTGTTGATCATATGGTACGTTTTTTGAGTGGCTGGTGCTGGTTGTTCCTTTCTATGTTTAGTACTTCTTTCAGGAGCTCTTGTAAAGAAGGACTCATGGTGATGAAATCTCTGAGCAATTGTTTGTTCATAAAGGATTTTGTTTCTCCTTGGCTTATGAAGCTTAGTTTGGTTGTATATGAAATTCTGTGTTGAAAGTTCTTTTCCTTAAGGATGTTGAATATTGGCCCCCACTCTCTTCTGGCTTGTAGGGTTTCTGCTAATGAAGTTATTTCTTTCTGTTTCTTAGTTTTCCTTCTAACAGTCAGGCCCCCCTGCCATAGGACTGCTGGAGGTCCACTCCAGACCCTGCTTGCCTGGGGATCACCTGCAGTGGCTGTGAAACAGTAAGGGTTGCTGCCAGTTTTTTCTTCTGTTATCTCTGCCCCAGCAGGATACCTGCCAGATGTCAGCCTGAGCTCTCCTTTATGATGTGTCTCTTTGGTTATACGGGGATCTGGGAGCTGCTTGTGGAGACAGTCTGTCCCTTATCGGAGCTCAAGTGCTGAGCTGTGAGTTCCGTTGTTCTGTTCAGAGCTGCTGGGTATGTGTGTTTAAGTCTGCTGCAGCGGAACTCGTAACCGTCTTTTTTTCCCAGGTGCTCTGTCCTGGGAAGTTGGGGTTTTATTTGTAAGTTCCTGTCATTCTGCTGCCTTTTTTCAGTGATGCCCTGCCCAGTGAGGAGGTAGTCTAGTCACAGTCTGCCAGCAGAGGCGTTGCTGAGCCCAGCTGCTGTGTGAATTTCCTTGCAGTTTTGTTCATAGGGGTATAGTTAGGACTGCCTCAGTAATGGCAGTGTGCTTCAGTGATGGCAAACTGTCTCTGTAATGGCGGACTGCCTTGATAATGAGAGATTGCCTCGGTAGTGGTGGACTGCCTCAGTAATGGTGGACTGCCTTGGTAGTGGTGGACTGCCTTGGTAATGGCGGACTGCCTTGGTAATGGCCCTTCTCCCCACAGAGCTGGACCGTCCTGAGTCCAGCTGTGCTTGCTGTGAAACTCTCAGTCCGGAGTGTTTCAGACCTCTGGTCTTTGTGGGGATGGGACTGGCTGAGCCAGATCATCTGGCTCCCTGTTTCAGCCCCTTTTTTTCAGTTGAACGGGCAACTCTGTCGCCCAGGCGTTCCAGTCGCCAGTTGAAATGGCACCCGGATTTGTGTGAGTTTTTGTGCAGAGACCCACTGCACTGCCTGAAACAGCCTTGCTGGATACTCGTGGTGCTTTTTCACCCGGGAATCTTCTGGTCTGTGGGCAGAAAAAATTCGTTTGGAATTGCAGTGATCACTCATACTCTGCATTTTCACTGGGAACTGCAATCCAGAGCTGTTCCTATTTGGCCATCTTGGATCCCCCTATTGACTGATTATATTATTCTACTTTCTCAGGGAGAAAGAGAGGCAGACCTAGAGCCTGCTTCACTCGGAGTGACAGAGATCCACAGAAAAGAGTCCAGTCAAGAGGTAAAAAAGAAAAGAGGAATGCAATTTCAATAACTAAACATCTAATTTCCTATGCTTTATGCTGCATTTTCAGTAATAAACCTATTTCCTTAATTGTTTTATAGAGTTGTACTAACTATTGAGAAATGTATCCAGTTTAGCCATTTTCTGAAATGTGTCAAGGACAGAAGGAAGTGAGTTAGTGATGCATCTACAACCGGACCTCAGGGGCCCAGGGGACACTAAAGTGCTACTTTCACTGAAATGATACATTTCAAGGCAGGAGATAGTCCATTGCTGTATAAAGGGTATAACCTATAAGTTATTAATCTGAGCATCCTTTGGCTATACAGAAAGCCACGGGTTGCATACTAAAGGTTAACCAGAGTTGTGGTTAGAAATCTGTGTCCTAAGGCTTTTTGGCTTTTTTTTTTTCCTCTGACTGTTTGATCTTGTGCCGATCATTTGACCTTCTTTGACTTGGTTTCCTCATCTGGAAGCTAGAGGGTGAATTAGGCCAACCACCTTTTTTTTTTTTTTTTTTTGAGGTGGAGTCTCACTCTGTCACCAGACTGGAGTGCAGTGGTGCAATCTCGGCTCACTGCAACCACCACCTCCCAGGTTCAAGCAATTCTCCTGCCTCAGCCTCCCAGGTAGCTGGGACTACAGGTGCACACCACCATGCCCAGCTAATTGTTTTTTTTTTTTTAGTAGACAGGGTTTCTACATGTTGGCCAGACTGGTCTTGATCTCTTGACCTCATGATCTGCCCACCTTGGCCTCCCTTATTAGTTCATCCCAGTCTAAATAGTCTGCCTTTTTCAAAACCAGTCTCAGGATCAAAGACAGCTCCTGCTGCCCATCATGGCCTCTACATCTCTGTTTGGAAGGGCAGGATTCACTGCTCATCCTCCTGTAGTTTCTTTGAAGAACTTTCACACCTACTTCTGTGATATCAGGTCCCCAGTTCCCTACCCACTGCCCAGTACAATTTTCATATTATTCTAGAGCTCCCTGAGCTCCTCTCTCAGCTGTGGAGACAGCTGTTGGAGGGAAAATGGAGCAAAGCAGAGAACAAAAGTAGAGGGCAGACACCGTTTCCATTAGGTTATCTCATCTCTCCTTCCTTGACCAGTCAGTGCTCAAATAGGAAGACTGATTATGGTCTCCCACTTCATCTCTGGCTACCTAACTGCAGCAAAACAGCATAGCTGGAGAGCTTCCATCAAACTAATGACCACAACTGTATGTTTCATTGTCATATAAGAATCAGTGGCGTGAACTACATTGGAAGTTAAAAGGGTTTTACTGAAGTCTAATTTCTCCAATAAAGCATTCTATTTTGTGTGAAATTTGAAAGGTAAAATTGGGGTACACATTCTGTAGTTATGTATCAAAAATGCCACTTGGAAGAAAGTCCTTGAAACTCTAGAGATTTTTCGAGTAGAATTTCTTAAACACTCTTTGTGGCTTTATAGGAATTACCTCAGTGGGGAGGGGGGATGTGACTTTGCAAAGTGAGACATAATGAAGAAATCCTCTTTCAGCTTCAAGAAGGCACAAAGATAAAACTGTGGATTTTAAGGATTCTTTACTTCTGGTGACCTGTGGTGAGATGAAGGGGATTTTATACAAGGAGAAATTGAAACAAGGTGAGTTTTATTCTTTTTTAATTTGCAGCTCCTCTCTGAAGGCATCACAATTAGTGGGGAAATTATCCATGTGAATTACACATCATTCAAGGACTTTTTGGCCCCAGATTGGCTTGAGGGAAGGAGGAAGGGATCCCTAAGATGACATTTTCAGACTTTAAGAAATCACATCCATCACATCCATTAGATGCTCACTCACACATGGAGTGTCCACGGGGTGCCCAAAGAATCAAAGAGAAGTGCAGGTCAATTCACAGAAGAACGTCAATTCACAGATGGAAAATGTCACGTATTTTATCAAGAGTCAGACAGAAAAGGGAAGAGGCCCTCAGCCTCGACCTTCATATTCTTTCTTCCTTCTGGAGTCCTGTCACCAAGGCAGGGTACTTGACTTAGGGTGACAATCTCAGGTTTTAAAATTAGGAAGCCCAAGTTCCAGCCTTTGCTGTGCCAGGAGTTTCATTCTGAGTAGAGAAGGGGGCCTTTCTGAACATGAAATTTCTCATCCAAGAGAGGGAAGAATAATTAGACACCTGGCTCATGATATAGCTGTGAGAACTACTCTTTACATATTAACGTAAAATATTTTGTGATTGAAAGGTATAAAATTTGCTACTAATGTCTATCAGAATGACCTTCATCTCAGACCTCTTTTTTTTTTTTTGAGACGGAGTTTCGCTCTTGTTACCCAGGCTGGAGTGCAATGGTGCGATCTTGGCTCACCGCAACCTCCGCCTCCTGGGTTCAGGCAATTCTCCTGCCTCAGCCTCCCGAATGGCTGGGATTACAGGCACGCGCCACCATGCCCAGCTAATTTTTTTTTTTTTTTGGATCTTTAGTAGAGACGGGGTTTCACCATTTTGACCAGGATGGTCTCAATCTCTTGACCTCGTGATCCACCCACCTCGGCCTCCCAAGTGCTGGGATTACAGGCTTGAGCCACCGCGCCTGGCCTCAGACCTCTCTTAACTTGGTTCTTTGAGCACCAATTAATACAAACGTTTTCATTGTAATTATTTTTAAACAGCTTTACTGAAATATAGTTCACATATCATACAACTCACCACTTAGAGTATGCCAATCAATGATTTTTTTTGTATTTTCACAGGATTGTACAGCAATTATTATCATCTAATTTTAGAACAATTTGTCCCTCCACAAAAGAAAAACCCATGTCAATTAGCAGTCAATGTCCATTCCCACCTTACCCCAATGCCCAGCCCTGAGTGCGGCTAATCTATTTTCTGTTCTATAAATTTGCCTATTCTAGACATTTTCTACAAATGGAATCCTGTAATACATACCCTTTCATGACTGGCTGCTTTTAATGAGTATGGTGCTTCAAAGTTTATTCATAATGAATGTATTGGTACTTCATTTCTTTTATTGATAAATAATATATTTCATTGTATAGATACACCACATTTTGTTTATCCGTTTATCAACTTGGATTATGTTCAATCTTTGGCTGCTATAAATAATGATATTTTGAGCATTCATGTAACAAATTTGGTGTGAACATATTTCAATTCTTTGGAGTGTATATTCAAGAGAGGAATTGCTGAGTCAAATAGTAATTCTATTTTTAACTTACTGAGGAAACACCAAAGTGCTTTCCACAGTGGCTGCACTGTTCTATATTCCCACCAGATACGTATGAAGGCTCCTGTTTCTCTACCCACTCACCAACACTTGTTATTGTCTATCTTTTTTGTTATGATCATCCTAGTGGGTGTGACGTGGTATCCCATTGTGCTGTTTCTCTACCCACTCACCAACACTTGTTATTGTCTATCTTTTTTGTTATGATCATCCTAGTGGGTGTGACGTGGTATCCCATTGTGCTGTTTCTCTACCCACTCACCAACACTTGTTATTGTCTATCTTTTTTGTTATGATCATCCTAGTGGGTGTGACGTGGTATCCCATTGTGCTGTTTCTCTACACACTCACCAACACTTGTTATTGTCTATCTTTTTTGTTATGATCATCCTAGTGGGTGTGATGTGGTATCCCATTATGGTTTTGCTTTGCATTTCCCTAATGGCTGATGGTGTTGAGCATGTGACTATCTTTTATATATAACTTAAATTTTCTATTAGATAACATTTTATAATTATTTTTAAATATCAGCTAGCTATGGTTGCAGAGATGAGAAAATCTCTGTTCAATAATGCCATAAAACGGAATGAAAAATGTTGTAATAGAAGGTGCACGTGTTGCTGGTGTGGCCTTCGGAGCCACAGGGCACCTATCTGAGACTGTACCTCTAAATGAGGATTCTGCCTCCACATTGCCCCCAAAGCCTTCTGCAGACTCAGGCCTGGTCTCTACCCCAGTATTCAACAGCAAATTGGAATCCTCTCGTCTCTCAGAATCACTTGCTTTTCCTTCTGTAAGTGCTTCTGAAGCACTTTTAAAAGATTGCTCTTGATAACGATCACTTTCTTTATGGATGAAAGAGGAAGAAATGTGCACCCCCACCAGGAAATGTCCTTAGAGGGGACTTTCAGGCTGGATTTGGGGCCTCTGAAATCTGAGAGGGAAGGCCAGACCCTCCCACTGTTGATCTTGATCACAAATTGTGTGGTTCTAGATTCAGTGTGGTGAGCGGCCACAGTCTGAGCACTGGGAAGAAAGAGGGCTCAGGATCAACTTACCCTGGTCTTACAGGAATCCCGGTGAAGTGTATACAGACTGAGGATGGAAATTGGTTCACCCCCAGGGAATTTGAAATCAAAGGAGGCCACGAAAGATCAAAGAACTGGAGGCTGAGTGTGCGCTGTGGCGGGTGGCCCCTACAACGGCTGATGGAGGTATTCCAGTGACAAGGGACCAGACCCGTGCCCTGCTTTGTTGTACCCTAATAATAAGGTCACTATGTATCCAGCAAATAATAGTTGAGTAAAAGCTAAAGGTTTGATGACAGTGAGTTTATTCTGTCACTCAGGTGAGAGGAGCCCCATAACCATAACCACACTCCAGTGCATACCCACTGATGTTGTACCAGGGGCTCATTGAGAATAGACACAGAAACTTGGAGGAGGGAAAGATCATTCTGACTAGGGTGCATGCAGACAATTTTATGATCTGGAAAAAAAGAAGAGCATTGATAGTCAAGCAGTGCAAGAAGACACTTCAGAGAAAAAACGACCTGAAAACCAGAACCATAGTAAAAGTATTAATAGCTCTGTGGATTTAGGTAGGTGGGTTGTGTTCAGTAAGGCACAATTCAGCAATTGGGGCTGTTTGTGGAGCGCTTTAATCCAGGCTAAGTAATTCAAATCTGTAATTGAGATAACAAGGAATCAATGAAATCTTCTGAGATTGGAAATGATACTTAGAACAATATTTTAGACAGCAATGGGACTTTGAAATGCCTTTACTGTCTCCCCTGCTAAGAAACTCAGTCTAGAATGCTCAGCTCCAATGCTACCCTCTTCTCTAAATATTCACTGACCTAGCCATTGGCCATCCCTTCCCAGGGTTCCTATACCCCCTACTAATGCCTTTTTTCACTGTTTATATTTATCCTTCTGTAAGTGCTTTTTGCCTCTAGATCCCTTTAGGTTTGTCTGTCTTCATGTACCCAAGATTGATTGGAATGACTGACACCCAGTAGCATGCAGTAAATGTGTGCAGCTTGGATAGCTCTGGTGTAGGGACTCCAGCTGGAGTGGCACTGGTGGGACTGGAAAAGAAGTGATAGATGGTAGGAGATTGTGAGGGAAAACCTCTTAGGACTCAAGAAAGAAGCTCAAGAAAAGGGAAAATGGTCCTGAAGATGATTTTCTGGCTTCTGTTGATTGAAGTCTAGAAGCACAGGTGAAGAGAGGGAGATGACTACTCATTCATTCAGACACCTTGGGTTGGAGCTGGCAGTGGAACATTCAGGTAGAAATATCTGGAAGGAGGTTGGAGATGCCAGATTCACAAAGCAAAAACAGGCTGACCATATACCTTGTCTGTTTGTTTGTTCTATCATTCAGGAAGGATCTCTACATAACCCTTCAAGAATTTATTATGGGAAGAAAAAGGTGATTGTTACATAATTTTCTACATCTTCTTGTCACAACTGATTTAACATGTATGACATCTTATTTTATGAAGCCTCCAATTGCATAATTGTAATTAAGCTTTCACCTTCTCCACTACCTACGTTTAATATTTTTTGATATGTGCCTCAGACTTACTACTTTGAATACTGTGTCTATCTAAAGCCAGGTCCTCTTTGGATATTAAACCATATCAGATGGAGACACTGAGAAGCCATCAAAACAGACCTCCTGTATGTGTTTTAGCACAGATGCAAATGTTTTAAGAGTGTCAAAGTTGGAAAATCAAATATGGTCATGGAATACATAAAAATATTTTATAATAAGACGAAGGTATCATCTCTAACTCAAAAACAGATTTTTTTTGACTGATGTTACTATTTTCTAACTTTTGTGAAATCCAATAGGGCAAACGTTTGCTCACAGTCACTTGAGACACATATGAAACCATATATTATTTTGTGAAATAGGCAAAATAAGAATCTTTCTTTTCTGATCTTTCACATCCACTTTCACCTTCCAAAAAAATGTATACACAGACATACAGAATTCTTTCTCAACAGGAAATTATTTCCCTTTGTCAGGATGGTGCCACTGGGGAGGAAAATCTCAAAAGGTAGATGTATTTTTTAGGAAGGACTGACCAGGAAAATCTTTTATGTTGATGCCAACTCTTTGGCTCTACCAGAGGGACTGTAGAGACCTGCCTTTTAATCTGTGAAAGTGATTTTTCCTTCTCTTAAAGAAAGCAACAAATAGATTAAGTGCAGTGCAGATTCAGGACAAAGTGATAGTTTTTCCAAGACTCAGTATGAATGACAACCTGAGGGGGTGGGGAGGGGAAAAGGGTCATCCTTATACACTTTAGGTAGAAATATCATCCAAGACATTCACAGACTTCTAAAACAGGTCACACACAGCTTGCCACTGGGCCTCATATTCCACTGGGAACCTGGGATCCAGGCATTTATATTATCTGATATTCTGGCTGATTTGAACTCTCAGCCTCTGAGACATTTCATCCACTGGTTTTCCTGAAGGGAAACTATTGTGTCACCTATTCAGTGAGTATGCTAAACACCAGCATCTCTACCTTTCCCCAGGTGCCAAGAGTAACTCAGTCTAGATGACCCTAGCTGCTGGCCTAGCAATTGCCAACTAACTAACTGTCCTCTTATTCTGAGATACAACACTTAGCAGCAACAAGCTGTTGACTCTATATTTTGTGTCTCCTCGTGGAGAGAACAGGAGGTCGCTTAAGTGGCAAATCCAGGATCCATTACGAACTCCATGGATCCTCTGTGCCTCTCAGAGCTTCTCTTGCTTGTAGAGCCACTTGGCTTCTGGAAACTTCAGTGTCACTCTCAGTGCCATATGATAGCATCTCTGCTCAGGCTCATGACAGGGCCACATAAACCTTTTGTTGGCAGCTGAGGTGTTGTAAAGCAATCTGATATACTCACCTAGAATAATTGTGTGCTAATGTTTGCTTAAGAGACTCCAGTAATTTCTTTCTTTTTTTTTTTTTTGAGATGGAGTTTTGCTCTTGTCATTCAGGTTGGAGTGCAGTAGCACCATCTCGGCTCACTGCAAGCTCTGCCTCCAGGTTCAAGAGATTGTCCTGCCTCAGCCTCCCAAGTAGCTGGGATTACAGGTGCCCATCACCATGCCTGGCTAATTTTTTATATTTTTAATAGAGACGGGGTTTCACAACATTGGGCAGGCTGGTCTCGAACTCCTCAAACACTATTCATTTATTCACCTATTCAACATATACTTACCAAGTACATACTAAATTCCAATGGCCATTACAGAAGATTGACCTCAAAAATCATTTCGGGCCAGGCATGATGACTTGAGCCTATAATGCTAGCATTTGAGAGGCTGACTTGAGCTCAGGAATTGGAGACCAACCTGGACAACAATATGAGATATCACCTCTACCAAAAAAAAAAAAAAAATACGCAGGCATTGTGATCATACCTATAGTCCCGCCTACTCAGGAGGCTAAGGTAGGAGGATCACTTGAGCCTGGGAGGTCGAGGCTATAGGAAGCTATGATTTCATCATAACACTCCAGCCGGGGTGACAGAGTGAACCACTGAAATTAAATAAATAAAAGGTTGTTTCATATTGTAAACATAGATGAATTACAAATGGGTGGGGGGTGGGAGATTCTAGGCTAATCCAAGAAGCAATGAGTGACAAGGTTACCTCTCAGGTGCTTGTCTTTGGATCACACTTGTTTATGGCCTCTGTGCCCTGGGCTAGAGACAAAAGCTGTGGCTGCCTGTATCCCAGAAGGGAAGGATGCCAAGTCATGCAGTGGATACCCAAAAGCAGTCTAAATAAATCTAGTAGGTTACCTCTTAAAAGTCAGTCAATCTGACATCTTCTTGTGATTTGGATAGAAAAGAGAGCAGGAGACTTTCAGGAAGAAGAGCTGCAGCGCAGAAGACCTTGGAGGTGTTTTATCACTAGGGCTGTGTCCCCAGGGGAGCTGGAGAAAGCAGTGTTCTTCTACTCTGGGACAATTCCATGGCCTCCAGGACTCTGGACCTTAGGTCCCCGGAGGCTATGGGGGATGAGTCCTCAGCCTGATTATTATTGAAGCTCCTCTGGGTGGGATGACACAAAGGCCAAGTTTAGGAGATATGCCTGAGGGCCCGTTGGAGTAAAAGGACAAGTAGAGTTTCTCTGACTTGGCTTTTGCAAACTAGATCCAGACTCCCTGCAAGGAATGGGACTTATGTTGGGTTGAATGGTAATAACTGGGCACTTTCATTCTCTCAGTAGATATGTAGGTTCATAAAATCAGATGTGAGGGAAAAGGAAGACTGTTTAAAAAAAAAAAACTTTAGACAAAATAAATTTAATAGCATTTATTGGGGTAAAGAGGAATTTATGAATTGGGCAGCACTCAGAACAAAGAGAAGTTTAGAGAGCTCTTCTGCAGCAGTCCAGACAGTGAGGCCAACACAGGAGTAAGACAGAGAAACTATATTTAATGGGTTATCATGGAAAGATGCTAATTAGAGGTTAGATGGTGGATTCTAGTTGGCAAATCTCTAGTTTCATTTTACTGTTTACATCAGGTTTCAATTTGCTTACTTAGGAACTTAAAGCACTAAAGCCACCCCAGCCTGCTTACAACTGGTTCCTGAATCCCTTCAAAGATGACTATTTAAATAAGTGATAGATGGAAACAACGCATTCAATATTGTAAATCAACCTTTCTGGTTTTTTTGTTGTTGTTGTTTAAACAGGGAATACTGAAGTCTCACAAGAATACCTCAGTTGACCCTTGTGTAAGTACAAATTCTGAACTATTACTCCCAGAATGTCCCACTCCTTTCTCCAGGCATATGTTCTGTGTCATGACTGCTATTCCCTGAAGCATGTTCAGTCTCAGTTGGAGTATGTTGCTGTGTGTGATGAGCAAAGAATACCAGATGCATCCCCCAAGCCAGGTACATGTGCCTATGCCTTAGATGTCTCATTGTGAAAGAACTCTTTCCATCTGCTTCAGTGGAATCCTTCCAAAGTCCTTATTTCCCCTGGAAAGTAAGTATAGGAGGCTGAGCTCTAGACCCCTGAGGTCTCCAGAGACAGAGCTTGAAGTGGTAAGGGGTAGGGCTGGCCTGGTGATTACAGGGAAGGGTCAAATGTGAGAGGATAAGAGCATTTTCAAGTAAGTGGAGTGGATGAAAGGGAAAAATCCCAAAAATGCACTCCAAGTTGCAGGTAGAGCTAAAGATGGTCTTAAGCATCAGCCAGAAGGAACAGGCCAGGCCAAGCTATTACGTTCAAGGTGCGGAGCCTGTCATTAGTCCTATAAAGGAATGGCTCAGGGAAGCCGTTAGGGTGCTGAGCTGGTTAGGACTGAAACCATCATGACCTAGCAAATCATGAGGCATTTTTACTCAACTTCTTATCTGGTGCTCAGTACTATGCACACCTTCTGATCCCATGGGCCCCATCCATTCTCTGCTTGCTATATGGCTGCCTGCTTTGGGTTCTGCTGAAATCATAGATGGGTCCCTTCTGTAAATGAAGTTGTGGTTTGATTGTTTTCATTGCAGTGAAATGTCTATTTTAGGCAGGGTCACCTTCTTGGACAACTGTAGGGGGCAGCACTCACACAGAATATCATGCAATAACACCGACACATGATACTTAACAGAGGAGGGATAAGCAAATAGTTTTATATACACCTTACCTCCAAAGCAATCCTCCAACAAGATTTAGGTCTTATCCACACTGATTTTGATGCCCAGCCAATTCAAGGACTCATGAATGGTTAAAACAGCCCTTGAGGTCCGTGTTTCTGTGACTGATTTTGTATGGGCTAAACATGGAGGTTTAGGTCTCACAGCCCACAGCCAGATGTGTGTGGGGAGAAGAGGAAAACGGTTCCAGCAAAGGTATGGTCACCTCTGTTAATACTTTTTCCAAGGCCAGTAACAACATTGACTTATAACATCCCCATGCCTCCATAACCAGACTTTGCTCAGGTTGAATCTGAAATTGGGCTTCATCCTACAATCACCTGAAGAGCTTTTAAAAATGTTGTTGACTGGACCCCATTTCTAAGAAAATTCTAAATTAGTCTGTGCTCTGTGTGACTTGAACATTAGGATTTTTTTTTAGATCCCCAGATGATTCTGATACATAGAATTGCCCATTCTGTTACCTAAAGAAGAACACCCGTGCCTGCGCCTCAACCCTAACCCATTGATTCAGAATCTCTGGTGTTGGGTTCAGGACGTTAGAATTTTTTTTTTTTTCCCTGAGATGAGTCTAATGTACAGCCAAGCCAACAAGCAAAGACCAGGGAAATCAAATCTCTTCATAAACAGATACGGGTTTGGAGAAAAAAAAAATGGCAGATAGGAGGCAGGACTAATTTCCACCTCCAACTCAGATGGACAGAACAGTGTGTGGAGACTCATATCGTGAACTTTTGCTACAAGAATCACCACAGGAACATCCCAGCAAAACAAGGAATTCACAGACCCTTTCAGAGAAGTGGCTCACCACTGCAAACTCTGTGAGAGAGCCAAAAATCTGTGAGTTCTCTAAGTGTGAGAGGTAGAAAGTCCATCTCTGAACACACAACCTCACTGAAGAACCTGAAAATCCAGATCACAAGAGAAGGATTTCACCTAACCTAGAGCTGAAATAAATTTAGAGAGCTGGTTAAAATAGAAAAGTAGAAGCAGCAGCAGAAAGAGCCTGTAGACACTCCACACAGGACCATGTGGGGGCTGTGCTCAGGAACAGAGGAAACAGCCAGGGACTCTGTAGGGTGGGCTGTCCCCTGCTTCCAGAGGGAGAAGGTGATTGGCTTGTTTGAAGAATTTCATGGTTGGAAGGGGAATAAAATCAGCTATTCAAAAATAAGCAGAACTTGCAAGCAGTCCTCTTGATAAGAAGTGTTGGTAGGAAGCCTTACCTGCAGCAGCAGAGCTGGGGGAGAACTTGTAGATTAGGCCATTCTGGGCCCTCCCAGTGTCACCAGATGTCCAGGCTGCACATAATATTGAACTGTAATTATAGTCCTTGTAGCACTTTTCCCTTGAATGACAAAGGGCTCAGACACAGACGGGTTCTTTGTCTTGAATACACGTGTATTTGTCTACAATACAGCATACGTGTATTGGTCTCTATATTTGCTCTATAAATTCCGTTGATTTTTAATGACTGGGATTTGCTCCACAACATGTGGACACAAATACGATCGTATTTTAACTTCTCAAAATCAAATTAAATCTGGCTAAAGGTCTCACATATTGAGACTGGTGAGAAATGTAGAATTAGTTGATTTACCATTATTTTTATGGAGCAAAGCACCAAGGGGGACCTGGCAATATGGCCAAATACAAACAGCTCCGATCTGCAGCTCCCAGCGAGATCAAAACAGAAGGCAAGTGATTTCTGCATTTCCAACTGAGGCACCTGGTTCATCTCATTGGGACTTAGTAGATGGTGGGTACAGCCCATGGGCAGTGAGCCGAAGCAGGGTGGGGCATTGCCTCACCTGGGAAGTGCAAGGCATCAGGGAGCTCCCTCCCCCAGCCAAGGGACTATGCCATAAGGAACAGTGCACCTTGGCCCAGATACTATGCTTTTCCCATAGTCTTCGCATCCCACAGGCAAGGAGATTCCCTTGAGGGCCTATGCAACCAGGGCCCTAGGTTTCAAGCACAAAACTGGGCAGCCATTTGGGCACACGTCGAGCTCGCTGCAGGAGTTTGCTTGTTTTCCACACTCCAGTGCTGCCTGGAACGCCAGCGAGGTAGAACCATTCACTCCACTGGAAGAGGGGCCAAAGGGAGCTGAACGGTCTAGCTCAGTGAATCCCACCCTCACAGAGCCCAACAAGCCAACATATCTATATAAAATATCTATATCTATATCTAGTATCTATCTATATGTATAAAATATATATAATATATATACATTTATTCACACACTATATATAGTAGGTATATACATATATATAAAATCTCCAATGTGATATATATACACACACACACAGTGGACTATTATTCAGCCACAAAAAAGGAATAAAATCCTGTCATTTGCAGAAACATGGATGGACTGGAGGTTATTATGTGAAGTGAATAAATCAAGCACAGAAAGAGAAATATTACATGTTCTCACTCATGTTTGAGGAACTGGAGGTTAATATGTTACGTGAAATAAATGAAGCACAGAAAGACATATATTACATGTTCTCACTCATGTTGGGGAGCTTAACAAGTGGATCTCATGGAAGTAGTGAATAGAACAGTGGATACCAGAGGCAGGAAAGGGTGGGGGTAGGGGAAGAATAGAAGGTGGTTAATGGGTACAAATAATATGGTTAGGTAGGAGAAATGAGTTCTAGTCTTAGAAATAAGTAGGAAAATTATAGTTAATAATTTATTGTTTGTTTCAAAATTGCTAAAAGGTAATCATTGCAATGTTTTAACACAAAAGAAAGGTAAATGCTTGAAGTGATGGATATCCCAGCTATGCTGATTTGATTATTACACATTGTATCCACGTATCAAAACATCACCTGAGTCTCCAAAACATGTACAAGTATAATAGATCAATTCTAAAAATACAAATGTATTTTTAGAATTGATCTATTATATATAATCAGAAAATTACTTTTTTCATTAAACTCAAGGAAATCTAGGTAGTAGAAAATAATGTAATTTAACAGCAGTAAGACATATCTACATGCTAATATGGAACAGTCTCCAAAATATTAAGTTAGAAAAGGGGAAGGGTATGTTAGTATTTGATTTTGTCTTTTATGAAAATTGTGTATATATGTATATATATTCTTATCCACGCATAAACTATTACTGGAAAGATTCCTAAGAAACATATTACTATCTCCCTCTGGTGAAAAGGAAAGAGATTTGGAAGCCCCAAGCATGCGAGTCTTACTTTTCATTGTTTATATTTTCATTTTCTTTGAATGTTTACCATGTATATATATTATATCTTAAAATAAAATCAAAATTCTCTTTAAAATTAAAAAAAAAAAAAGAACATAGCACCACCTCTTTGGGCCCAGGAAATGAGGGTAGGGCCTCCGTCTTCAACACTGTATGGTTGGTCATTAGAGATGACACCTTCCCACCTTACAATCCAAATGAGCTAAGTCATGGGGGATCTACACCAGAGCCAAAGAGCTCTGTGCTCCTGAGGGCCCCCCTGGTCATCTGCACCCATGGTCCTTCCCCCTCAGAGATAGGCACACAGCTATCTAGATCTAGGCACAGAACCTACAGTCCAGGAACCCCTAACTAGGCCATCTCTTCAACTCATGGGGAACTTATGGCCAAGAATATGGCAAGTAATGATATCTCAGAAGCTTGTTCTATCATATGTAATTCTCTAGGTCTCCCTTTCATGAGCTGATTTGTAGTATAGGCAAAGGGATTTAACACTTTACTTCAAAACCTGATTTTATCTGCAGCATAATAGTTATTCAGATTCCAATAAAATCATCCTCTTGCTTTGTTACTAGTCTTTCTGTGTGATAGTCTCTGGTTTTATAAGGAAACATTTTATTCTGACTCATAGCCCTTCCTCCTGAACTTCACTGCAGACTAGGATTTGTTCTGAAATCTCCAGGCCATGATTTTCCTTTACATCCCAGTGAGAAGCAAGTGCTTGTCCACGCAGGTTACGCAAAGGCAGTGCCTTTATATATCCCAATAGAAGCAAATGCCTGTCCACGCAGGTTCACGCAAAGGCAGTGCCTTTATATATCCCAATAGAAACAAAGACCTGTCCACGCAGGTTACGCAAAGGCAGAGTGTTCTAGATGGCCCGGAGGGGGGCCTTCCTGAATCTTGCGGATCCCTGTGACATGGACACTGTTTTCCCTTCTAGATGAGAAACTTGGATGAGTGCGAGGTTTGCCGGGACGGAGGGGATCTGTTCTGTTGCGACACTTGTTCAAGAGTCTTCCATGAGGACTGCCACATCCCACCTGTGGAATCTGAGAAGTGAGTGACATGCAGGTGCCTCTCTTTCATCCTTTAGGGAACCTTCCACCTGCCATGTGCTCTCCCCAGCAGAGTGCCTGCTTGTGTTTAGCTGGGAAAGGAGCAGGTTCCTTGGGTACTGGAACCCAGCAGTGTGATCCAGAGAGCAGTGGGAGATGCTGGCAGCGGGAGGTTAATGTTCTCTGTGCTCTCAGGGACACCTCCTCTGATACGCTGAGGCCAGGTTGGGGACCCTTTGCCTATATACTGGTATTGTCCTTTCCTTCAAGTTTTGCAGCAAGGTCTCCTGTCCAAGGGGACTTGGGGCAAGAAACACCAGTTGTTTATGTTTTGTGCTTATTCATACAAGACAAGTGGCATGGTCCCATTGGGTTGATGGAGGCCCGAGGTCCCTGGAGCTGAAAGCCCAGTTTCTGATGCTCAGGCCTGGTAGGCAGGGCTCCTTGTGCTCCCAGCAGCTCAGACAGAGAAAGGAGAGCCACACTCACAGTGACACCACCTTCCTCAGGCTTTCACCTGCTGCTACCAGTGATGTGAGGGAAAGGACAATGGCTGGAGACCCCACATGCAGTTCTTGGATACTCTGGGAGGTGTTCCCCTGCCTCCCATAGCTGAACCCATCAACCATTCCTGAAGGAAGACAGTGGCAGCCACAAAATGGTGGCCATTTCCAGGGTCCCTGCCCTCTGCTCACCTAAGTCCAATCTCTCAGGTCCCCGTGGAGTTGCATCTTCTGCAGGATGAAGGAGTCTGCAGGAAGCCAACAGTGCTGTCAGGAATCTGAGGTCCTGGAGAGGCAGATGTGTCCTGAGGAACAGTCGGTGAGTCGGATACAAAGTCCAAACCTTCTCCTTTCCCCTCACACGTGGGAAGCACGAACAACCTCAAGGTCAGGGGAATGCACCAAAAGGAGCCTGCTCTTCCGAGCCACACTTTAGTTGCACTGATAGGCCACTACAACTTGTTTGCAGAAAAAATAACTCAGCCATGACATGTCTGTTTCCAAGAGCCACGCATGTTAGAGAAATCTGTGGAAGAAGGGTGTGAGTCCTGTGCTCTGTCTGGACATGCATGTGGGCTCACTCTCTCCACGCTGCTTCTCATTTACAGCCTCTTTCTTTTGCAGAAATGTGAATTCCTCCTCTTGAAACTCTATTGCTGTTCTGAGAGCTCCTTTTTTGCCAAGATTCCGTATTATTATTATGTAAGTAACAACAGCAACCCATGATTACAGGCTGCCATGACATTACCTGACCCTGAAAACAATGGACGCTTGTGAGATTTGTGATTTTAATCCTATGGAGCAAGAGCACAAGCTGTCATTAGTTACCTTCACTTTGTTGCATTTCTGCTGGATTTTATGCGAAGCCACAGAAGGTAGAGAGATTGAACTGTGCTGGTAGCCTTCCCACTGGTATTTTTGTCGCCAGATTAGAGAGGCGTGTCAAGGCCTGAAGGAGCCCATGTGGTTGGATAAAATCAAGAAGAGGCTGAATGAGCACGATTATTCCCGAGTGGAGGGGTTTGTACGAGACATGCGCCTCATCTTCCAGAACCACAGGGCATCATACAAGGTAGGTGGCTCTTCCCGCTTCCATTCGGTTTCTTTGCATTCTTCCCCTCATTTCCTGGTGCCTAGAAAATTAGTTTCCCTCATCCTGTATGTAATAAGCTTGCACAAGCAAGGTCCTGAAAGTGAGTGAATTTTTTTCAGTTCAGGACTTAGCTCGTCATAGTAAAGTAACAGTGAGTCCAAAGGTGTCTCTGCAACCAGAACTCTGGTTCCTGAGAGCTCATCCCCACCCGCCCCAGAGGTGACAGGAGCTCAGAGAGAGCAATTGAGTCCTGTCTGCTGCAGCATATAAAGAGAAGAATTTCATCTCAAAGTGGTATTGTGCTTCTTATCTGCCCCCAATCTCAGAAATCCCAAACTCTATATTACTTTGCATGTGAATAGACCATATGGTTAACAGGGATTGCCAGCAAGGAGTAGAAGTGATGGAGAAAGGAAGAAATCAGTGATCTTACCTTATACGCTCCACTATCTGAATTGGTGAAAGAGCATGGATCACTTTTCTAACCCACTGAAATAAGCAACCGAAGTCAAATAAGTAATAATCCCAACTATGCAAATGACTTCACTTTTCTGCCCTGTTAGTAAGAATCATGCTGGTAAAAAACAGAAGTTACTTTAGCTGCGTGAGTTTTCAAGTTTAACCTGGTTAATGTAACTTAGCGTGTTTAAGACAAGAGTCCTATACTTAACAATAGTGTATTTCACATTTCAGCATTGTTAAGAGAGTTAGTTTCAAATGTTCTCACCACAAAAAAATAATAACAATTTGAGGTGTGGGTATGTTAATTAGTTTGATTTGATGATTCCACGTAGCAGTCATAAATCACAACATTACTTTATACTCCAAAATATATGCCATTACCAATTGTCAACTTACAGGGCTTTATTTTTTAAAGACAAGAGCCCTGATCATTTCAGTTGAAAGGTGTCTAATGACACTAATCATGAGGAACATTGTTTTTGTCTTTATTATTTTTTTCTAGTACAAGGATTTTGGCCAAATGGGACTTCGACTGGAGGCTGAATTTGAGAAGAATTTGAAGGAAGTGTTTGCTATTCGGGAAACAAATGAGAACAGTTGACTAGTTAGTGGATGCTGAAGGCCTTCAGGAAATGGTACCCCAAAATATGCCACTGCTTTGCCACTTACTTCAAACTGAGGGCACTTGGGCACAGCACATGCAGGGAGGGGCTTTTCTCTGAGCCTCCCTCATCTGCCCAAAGACAAATCCTCCAAAAGAAATTCAATCATCATGAATCCCATCACCAACAATCTCATCAGCCAGGGAAGGGTAACTGGGACCACAGAGAAGGAGGTGGGAGGGGACACCAGCACAGCCAGACTCTCATCTTTTCTCCTGAGGGCTGCTCCAGACATTTATTACTCACAAGACCTTTTATCTGAAAAACCAACCAAGCTTTATTTAGGACACACTTCTTCCTTTCCCCCTCCCACTTGTCTCGCCACCTCCCTGCAGAATCCCCAGGCCCCTATTTTTCTTGATAGCTCAAGATGGTGTATGCGTGTCAATCATCTGACTCTTCTTGGAGTCTTGTATTTCATGGGACTCCTGTGCAAACATATATTATTAAAATTTTTATCCTCCTGTTAATCTACTTATGGCAATTTAATTCATTCATAGCTCAGCCAATGAACCTAGCAAAGTAGAGGGAAGCCATTTTTCACTCCCCTGCAAAGCTGTTGGTATCCTGGCACCATCTCCTCTTCTGGCCACGTCTTTTCATCCACAACTGCTGAGTGGTGGCTGCTAATGCCAGCAGTCACCAGAGTATTACCCTGGGTCTAATGGGACCAGCTTCACCTGGAGGTGACACCCCATGGCCTGAGGCCGACCCCTTTGCCTCAAAGCAGTACCAATGATGTGGTGTGAGGCTACTCTGTGCTCCCAGGAATCAGGCTGGAGCTAGTCTCCAGCTGTGGCCATATCCGGACTTAGCTTTTGACCACACTGTGCTGCTTCCCCTACTCCCTTCTGAGTGAACGCTCACCATAAATCTCCTGGTTAAGGAACTTCATCCCAGAATCTGCTTCTGGGGAAAGCAATCTAAGGTAATGGCCTAGGAAGCAAGCTCTGAGGACAGGACTCTGGAGTTGGATCACTGTCTAGCCCAATGGTGCTGGGTGGAGTATGGACAGTCCCAGGGCTGCTATCACTGAGCAGTTGCCCACACTTTCACCTGTAGTTAACTGGATGAGCTATAGGTGAAGGGGTAAAATAGCTGGTAAAATTGGCATTTAAGAAGTGAGGAAAAGTAACTATAATAAGTATGGGTTTTGGTGGCTATTGCTAGGTTCCATTAATGTCTTGAAAAGAGTAAATGACAGGCTTACATCTATTCATCACCACCCTAAAGAGAAGAGACCCTCATGCCTGCAGCTGGAAGGCTGCAGCAAGGAAGGTCTGATACAGGCCCTGATTTTATGAATCACAGAACTTCATAGAAGACTGAATTCGGGGCTCAGAGACTGAATTCTTAGCTCAGGGTGGTCTCTTATGCCAAAGTCAAGGCCTTAAAACTCACTTGCCCAGCTTCCAAACCTCAGCCAGTTCTCCATGAAATCCAGAACCCACTGATGGAAATGAGGATAATTTCTCATAAGGAAGAAACTTGTAAGTGTGCACAGCACTGATTCCCTCAAGTTTTCAAAGGAGGGCTCTATGGCCAAATACACATGCTGAGAAGAAAATACACAGATCTTTCAAGGGATGTTGAGTACAATGTCAGAGTTGATGCTAACCCCTGAGGACTCAAAGCACTATTGTAGCCCATGTTAGAGTAGAGTAGGTGGAGGTCAAGTAGTGTCCATCTCACAGTGGGCCCTCTGGATCCACAGAGCCACCCAGCAATAATTTAATCAGGATATACATTCATGCATACATCATAGTACATAGCAGTTGACTGACCTAGTTCCTCAACCTGTGGCTTCCTATGCTATGAAATAACAATGACTGTCTTAGGGAAGGCCAAGCTAAAGGCTCTCAAACTGAAGTTTCATGGTGAAAAAAGGTAAGTTAAAAGTAGTGTCACATTCTTGGGCTATGATAGAGATTAATGCCACCTACAAAGACTTGAAGGGGGCAGGGGTTGTTATCCCAGTTACATCTCCATTTTAATTCAGCTGTCTGCCCTCTGGGAAAGGTAGGTGGTTCATGCCGCTAAACAACCACTAGAACCTTAACCAAGGAGTAGCCTCAATTACAGTCGCTCTGCCAAACATGCTACCTTTATTATAGTAGGTTAGCACAGCCTAGCAAGTGATATGCAACTGTTAATATGGAAATGCTATTTTGAAGGATACAGCAGGATGTAGGTTGAGAAGCAATTCACATTCTTGGCCCAGCACGGTAGTGGGCACCTGTAATCCCAGCTACTTGGGAGGCTGAGGCAGGAGAATTGCTTGAACCCGGGAGACAGGTGGCAGTGAGCGGAGATCATGCCATTGCGTTCCAGCCCAGGAGACAGTGTGAGTCTCTGTCTCAAAAAAAAAAAAAAAAGGAAGCAATTTACATTCTCAAGGATTGGACAGCAGTATATTTCTTTACTGTCTTGCTCCAGGGCAAGGTGAATCCTGCTCTGTGTTATAGTATAGCCTTTCTGGACACTGCAATACATTACACTGGTCCACTGTACTGATGACAGTATGTTCATGGGCCTGATAAGTGAAAAATGTTGACTATTCTGAATGACTTATTAAGTCACAAACACTGAAAGTGATGGGAGAGAAACTTTACAAAGATTCAGAGATGTGCCTTATAGGTAAGCTTTCAGGGGTTCAGTGGTCTGGAGCATGTCAGAGCATCCCCTCCAAAGCTCCAAGCTATTGCAGCTCACACCTCCTACCACTAAGGAACCCAGAGCTTGGTGAGCCTCCCCAGGTTAGAAGAATCACCGTGGTTGACATTCTGATGCAAGTGATTCTAGGCTTCGTAATGTGGTTGTGTGTTTGGGAGGCAGGGAGTGGGGAGGCAGTGGGTATACCATCTTAATGAATAAGATGTGCTAATCAACAATGTCACATTAGTAAATATAGCTCTACATCATCCATGCCATACCTTCTCAAAACTGAATGACAGTTGGCTCTTTAGTTATTTTTGGTCTGGTAAGCATACTAATTTGTATTGAGAGGTAGCACAGGCTAGCATTTAAGAGCACAACCTCTGAAGTTAGCTCATGTAAGTAGAAGCCCAGCTCCTGCACTTCTCCACTGGCTGGCAGTGTGTCCATGGGAAAGCTACTCATCCTTCCCCTGTACTGTTTTATCTGTAAAACAGAGGCACTAGCAGTGAATAGCTCACTGGGTTATTGTGAGCATTAATGAGTTAATGTTTATTATGCACTTAGAAAGTGTCTGTCTGACCCTCCATGCAATACATATGTAATAAACAAGCAAACTTAAAAGATTAACATAAACACCCTTGTATCAATTCAGGCTCTTTGCCATCAAGAGAAACCCAATATATACTCAAAAGAATAGAAATCATTCCATTATAAATATACATGCACATGTATGTTCATTGCAGCAATATTTGCAATAGCAAAAGCATGCGATCAACCCAAATGCCCACTGGTGATAGACTGGATAAAGAAGATGTGGTACATATACACCATGGAATGCTATACAGCCACAGAAAGAAATTAGATCATGTGCTTTGCAGGGGCATAGTTTGCTCATTATCCTCAGCAAACTAATGTAGGAATAGAAAATCAAGCACCACATGTTCTCACTTATAAGTGGGAGCTGAACAATGAGAACATATGGACACAGGGAGGGGAACAACACACTGGGGACTGTTGTTGGGGGTGGGGGGGAGCATCAGGATAAATAGCTAATGCAGGCAGGGCATTACCTTGGCGATGGGTTGATAGGTGCAGCAAACTAGCATGGGCACATATTTACCTGTGTAACCTGCACATCCTGCACATGTATCCCAGAACATATAAAATAAACTTAAATTTAGGAAAAAAGAAAAGAATCTAATGCGAAGGAATCTAATCACAAAAGACCACATAATTGATTATTCCAGTTATATGAAATGTATAGAATGGGCAAATCCATAGAGACAGAAAGTACACTGACTGGTGGATGCCTAACTAAGGCTGGGAGGTTGAGGGGAAATGACCAAAATGTTCTAAAATTGATTGTGGTGATGGTGAAACAGGCTTGTGAACATACTATATAACTTTGAATTGTACAATTAAAATGGGTAAATCATATGGTGTGTTAATTGTATCTCAATAAAACTGTTAAAAATAAATTAAAAAGAGAGAAACGCAATTCATCTAGGCTAGACAAAAGTTACTTAGATGATGAAATACACAGTGCCTCACAGAAAGGGCCAAAAGGTGAGGGTACGTTGCTGGCAAACAGCCCCGGAAAACAGCAGGAATCGGAGCATTTCCAGGCAATCAAGCACCAGGAATGACACAGCCATCTCCTCAAGGATGTTACGATTTTACCAATTTTTTTTTTTTTAACTCCTCACAATACTTCACTCAAAAGCTCAACTCCCCCCAGACAGTGTCTGGCTGGCCTGGCCTGCTCAAGAGCCAGCATTGCGATGAACAACCTCTCACTCCTGCACCCAGAAGGGAGAGCTCCTACACCAGGAGGAGGCTGGACAGCCAAGGGAATCACAGCTGACCAATAAAACCCACCTGGGACACTCACAGCCTGCACCACTGCTGCCTAATGGAGGAATAGCGTAAATTCCAGGCCAGTTAGAGATGCCACAGAGCTGGGGGCCACCAAGTTCCTTGAGTCCACAGGAGCAGGTAACTGTTTCCCCATTGCCCTGTGCGCAGAGGCAAAGGCTGATTTGGTCACAGTTCTAGAGGGAAGGGGGTCTGCCTTATACCACTGGACAACCAAGAACCAGGATTGGGGCCATACCTGTCATGCTGTCAGTCCAGCACACCTGGATTCAGAGAGATGAAGGAGCCCCCTGGGTTCCTACCCTGGCGGGTATGCCATGTCCCTGGGAGCTGCCAGGACCTGGTGCTCTCATGGTCCTGAGCTGGGAAATTATAGGCTCTCAGTAATGACCTCTCAGCTGGAATCTACCATAGTGAATCCTGGGTGTCAGCACACAGTCCTGAGCTGGGGAGAAGCGCCTTCCACCAGGGAGGAGGAGAGATGGCCCTGGGAGGCTTCACAAAGCTCTGGAATCAGAGCCCAGGAACTAAAGTTGTCACAACTGTGTTTCCTGTGACACCAAACTCACATATACACAGTGGGGTGCCATATATTTCCTAGTTATATGCTCAGGAAGTCAGAGCAGGAAGGAGACAGAGGGAAGTCCAGGACCTGAATCCCTTGGAGAGAGGTGGCTGCTTCAGTAAGTTCCTTAATCAAGTACTGGATTCAATACTGTCACTCAATCTCCTCCTCTAACAAAGGCAAAAAATACACTTAAACTCCTCTGCAAAAGTTTATATGTCTTATCTATGTAGATGGTTTGTAATTATTAGCTCCAACTGAAATTCTAGAATATCTGTGTCTATTCTCCAGGCGTATTATGTGCTTTGTTATTTTGTTTACTGAAATAAGTCCACTCCTGCGACCACAAAAGTACAGAGTATGCATAGTCCC